TAGGGTGCTGCACATCTGATGTGCCGTGGAAATACGACACTTTTGATACTAATTACATACACTTTAGCTCATCTTTTAAAGCATTATAAGTCATTTATTATGTCATTTTGGTGTTTTGTAGGAAACAAGACTTGGTGATCTAAGAACATGAAAGAGATGACAAAAATCCATAGAAGGACATAAATGCGGCAGGTCTGCGACCACAAAAATGATGTGCAGGCAGCAGACCCATCGCAGAATGAAGCAGAACATCCTATCTTCTGAGAGTCAATTCTGCGATCCATTGTGCGGTCGCATAACTCTTCTGTGGAACCACGTAGTTATCACATAAATGCAAGAGGAGTTCCACTGAAGATGACTTTGCGGTTTGTTATGCGATCGCGAAACCAATATGCGGACCGCATGACCATAATGCGATGGAAAACTGGAAAACTTTGTGATCAATTTTGTGGTGATAAATGAAGATGTATGGATCGTGAAAGTATTTTGCGATCCATTCTATGGTCGCAGACATGATCTGCAGGGCCATACATGACTTTTAGACCAATATAAAGAGAATGATTAGGGTTTTTGTGGACCATCTTGTCTGAAAAAGAGGCTACACTTAGGCTACACTGAGAGAATCCAAGACTTTATTCTCTTTGTAAGCTTTATGAATTCATTTATTACTTTGTTCTTGTATTCTAGCATGAGTATCTAACTTTAAATACTAAGGTTGTGGACCCTAAGTGGGTGTAATGTTAATGGGTGCNTTGTGGACCCTAAGTAGGTGTAATATTAATGGATGTTTACCATTATATATATATATAATAGTTGGTTGATTTCTATTCATTTCTTATGCTTCATTTATGGTTGATGGTTTCACCGATAGCATTACATTCCATTGATGGAGACACAACCTTGGTTTCTTAATTAAATTAATCAAATTCCCTTACCAATATTGCTTTCTTGATAATTCACAATTACAAAACTATTTTTGACCTAACGGAGTAAAACTACGGCTTAAGTCAAGTTTCACACTATACAAGTAACCTTTTCACACCTATTCCCCGTGGGATTTTACCCCAACCTAGTTGGGTTTTATATTTGATATCGACCACCTTACACCATTTATATAGGTATAATGTGAGCATATCAAATTTTGGCGACATTGCCGGGGAATACAGTTTTGAAATTACTAACTAGTGTGTTCTTTACATTACGTCTTCTTCGATTCCATCACACTTTGCTTACTTTGCTTGCTTTGGTTGGTGTCATTAGATAAACATGGTTGAGCCGGAAGAAGAGAATGTGTTTGTAGATATAGATGAGTATATTGAGGATATAAATGCCATTGTCCCTCCAAGAGTTGATGATGCTACCTTCCAATGGAACACGGTTTAATCCTAATGCTAAAGGCAGAGGGGTTCTTCCGAAATTCCACCGATGATGATCCGACACATAATCTCAAAAATTTGTTGGGTGTGTGTGCAATGCACAAGCAGAATCATGTCTCAGATGATGCCCTAAGTTTGAGGGTGTTCAAGTACTCTCTAACATGAGAGGCAAGATAGTGGATCCAAAATCTACCTCCTAATTCCATCCATACTGGGCCCGAACTTGTTCGAGCTTTCCTAGCAAAATGGTTTCCGCAAAGCAAGAAGTCCGAGCTCCGGGATAAAGCTTTCTTCTTCAAGCAATTACCGGGGGAACATCTACTTGAAGCATGTGATATATTCAAGCTATATTTAGTGAGATCGCCGAATTATGGCTTTCCAGATAATATTTTGTTGCAGAAGTTTTACATGAGCTTGGATCATATGAATCAATCCATATCCAAAAACGCAGAGGATGGATCCTTTATGGATAAAACATTTGCACGGGTCACACAAATCCTTGACAAGATGGCAGAACATAACCAAGCTTCGCACTCGGAAGATACCATGAGTGGAATTGCATATGGTACTCCTTCCTTGACAAAAATGATTAAAAGGAACCAAGAAGGAGATCAAGTAATTGCCAGGCTTGCCACCAATGTCAACGTGTTGACGAAAATGTTCACTGAAAGCCAAACAAAAAAGGTGAATGTTGTAGAAGATTTGCAACCCATGTCAAATGAGGAATACGAAGAAGAAAATTATGTTAACAATCCTCAAGGAGGATATCAAAGACAACCCTACCAAGGTTCAGGACAACAACACCAATGGATGTCTAACCCGCAAGCGAAAGGCAACCAACAGTGGCGAAACAGCCAAGGTAGTTCAAATCAAGGAAAGTGGAGTAACAACAACAATAGCTTTTCAAATCGAAGCTCAAACCCCTATGTTCCACCAAAGGGGCAATATTCTAACTCTCCACGTTGGAAGGAAACTTTTTCAAGTGAGTCCAAGTTGGAAAACATGCTTGAAAGAGTATTGCAAAATCAAGAGAGATCCGACACTTCAATGAGGAATATGATCAAGCTTGTGGGTTCTCACACCGCATCTATTCAAAAGTTGGAGATACAAATGAGGGATCTCTCAAAAGATCAAAATCCGAAGCAAAAAGGCACGCTCCCAAGTGATACAATTGCAAACCCTAAAGGCAGTGGAAGTGGTCCAATTTCTCATTGTATGGTAATCACAACTTGAAGTGGGAAACTACTTCAAGGAGAGAATGAACAAGTGGTCAAAGTGGAAGATTCTGAGCCAGAAGTCGAGGCACAAGTTGAGGTGCCAAATATTGTTGAAGTTGAAAGACTCCCGAAGAAGGTGAGAACTCAAGAAGTGAACCATGGAGAGGTTAAGGGAAAGGTAATAGATACACCAAAAACTCTAGCACCAATTACTAGACCTCATCCTCCTTTCCCTCAAATACTAGTTAGAAAGCTTGATGATATCAAACTCAAAAAGATCTATGACATCATAAAGAAATTATCAATGAACATTCCATTTGTGGAAGTATTTCAAGAGATGTCGGGCATCGCTAAGTACTTGAAGGACTTGATCTCTATGAATAAAACCACCATGAATGAAGTGGTGAATGTGACTCACCGGGTTAGTTCCATCATTGCAACAACCGCCGTCCAAAAGAAAGAGGACCCATGAGCCCTCACCATTCCATGGACTATTGGATACGTGACTTTGCATGAGCCCTTTGTGATAATGCAGCTAGCATCAACCTAATGCCCCTTGCTATTTACAATTAAGCGGGATTAGGTATGCCTAGGCCAACAAGTATGAGGTTGGAAATGGCTGACCATTTAATAAAGTGATCGGTGGGAATAATTGATGATGTACTTGTGAAAGTGGGGAAGTTTATCCTCCCTGTTGACTTTATTATTCTCGATTGTTCTATTGATAAAGAGATCCCTATCATATTGGGGAGACCTTCCCTTTCTACCGGGAGGGCACTCAGGGGCTTGGAATGAAATGAGATCAAGTTCTGAGTTAATGACGAAGATGTTACCTTTGAAGCAAGTACGGGTATGGAATTGCCACATGCATACGAGAGTATATCAGTCATTAATGTTGTTGATGAGGTAGAGAATGTAATAGAGGTGAAGATGAAAGAGGAATGCCTTGGTGAATCATTGGCGGCTATTTTGGTAAATTTTGATAGTGAGGACATGGAAGGATACATGGAATCGATGAATGCATTGGATGGGATTGGGTCCTACACTTATGAACCAAAGAAGCTTTCTCTTGTATTAGAGAATAGAGTCACTTCTCCCTTGAAGCCTTCAATTATTGAGCCGCCATAACTTGAGCTCAAGTCACTCCCGCCGTACTTAAGGTATAAATTTCTTGGCTCTAATGAAACTCTACCCGTAATTATTTTTTCTTTGTTGAATGATGTACAGGTTGAACACTTATTGGATACCTTGAGAGAGCACAGACAGTCCAATGGTTGGACTATAGCGGATATCCGTGGGATTCCCGCCAGAATTTGCGAGCACAAGATACAATTGGAGCACGAGAGCAAACCTAGTGTGGAGCATCAAAAAAGGTTATATCCTTTCATGCAAGAGGTGTTGAAGAAAGAAATCATAAATTGGTTGGATGCTAGTGTTGTCTACCCCATTTTCGATAGTCCTCGGGTGAGTCTGGTGCAATGTGTGCCAAAGAAAGGAGGTATTACCGTAATTCAAAATGATAAAAATGAACTCATCCCAACGAGGACGGTGACCGGGTGGAGAGTTTGCATGGACTACGGGAAGCTCAATAGTGTACTTTCAAGGACCATTTCCCTATGCTTTTATTGATCAAATGCTTGATCGGCTAGCGGGGAGGTCATTTTATTGCTTCTCGGATGGTTACTCTGGCTACAACCAAATCAACATCTCCTTGGAGGACCAGGATAAGACAACATTCACATGTCCGTATGGATCCTTTGCTTTTAGCCGGATGCCATTTGGACTATGCAATGCCCCGGCTACTTTTCAATGATGCATGATGTCAATCTTCTCGAACATGATGGTGGACTTCTTAGAGGTATTCATGGATGACTTCTCTGTAGTTGGTGATTCTTTTGATCATTGCCTTGCCAACCTTAGGCAAGTGCTCAAAAGATGTGAGGAAATAAATATTGTACTCAATTGGGAAAAATGTCACTTCATGGTGGACGAGGGTATTGTTATTGGCCACAAAATTTCCAAGCAAGGCATAGAGGTTGATCGGGCAAAGATCGAGATCATTTCCATGCTTCCTCCTCCCACTTCGGTAAAGGGTGTTCACAGCTTTTTGGGGCATGCCGGTTTTTACAGGCAATTTATCAAGGACTTCTCAAAAATTGCAAGTCCCTTGTGCAAGATCCTTGAAAAGGATGCTAAGTTTGAGTTCGATGAGAAGTACCTTAAAGCTTTTGAGGAATTGAAAGCAAGGCTCACCACGACACCTATTATTGTCTCACCCGATTGGTCTCTTCTATTCGAACTCATGTGTGATGCCAGTGGTGTAGCTATTGGAGCAGTACTTGGTCAATGGCATAACAAGATTCTTCATCCTGTCTACCATGCAAACAAGACACTAAATGGTGCATAAATGAATTACACTGTTACTGAGCAAGAACTGCTTGCTATTGTCTATGCTTTTGAAAAATTCCGGGCATATTTGTTGGGATCCAAAGTGATAGTCTACACTAATCATGCTACACTCTGCTACCTTATGGCAAAGAAGGATGCTACACCAAGATTGATTAGGTAGGTTCTTTTGTTACAAGAGTTTGACTTTAAAGTCAAAGATCGAAAAGGAATAGAGAATCAAGTTGCGGATCACATATCTAGGCTTGAAGAGGCATGTAGACTAAAATAAGATCTTGAAATTAATGATGCCTTCCCAGACGAGCACTTATTGGCAATATCTAGCACCTCCAGTCCTTGGTATGCTGACATCGCTAACTTCTTGGTTAGTGACCTTATCCCCGACGGATTGAAAACTTATCAAAAGAAAAAGTTCTTGCGGGAGTGTAGGCAATACTATTGGGAGGAACTATTTTTGTTCCAGATTTGTACCGACAACATCATTCGGCATTGTGTTCCGGAAGATGATGTAATTCTAATTCTTAAAGCATGTCATGACTCCCCAGTTAGGAGCCACCATGGTGGAAATTGTACTGTGGAAAAAGTGCTTGAATGTGGCTTTTATTGGTCATCGATCTACCAAGATGCAAACCAAATGGTCAGGGCATGTGATCAATGTCAAAGACAAGGGTCAATTTCTAGAAGGCATGAGATGCCTATGAACTTTGTGATGGAGGTCGAGATCTTTGATGTGTGCGGGATAGATTTCATGGGTTCCTTCGTAAGCTCTTATGGCATGGCATATATCTTGGTGGCAGTATATTATGTCTCCAAATGGGTTGAGGCAATTTCCTTGCCGAACAATAAGGCAAGAAGTGTAACCTCCTTCTTGAAAAAGAACATATTTACTCGGGTTTGGAACCCCAAGGTCCATCCTTAGTGATGGTGGTTCTCAGTTTTGCAACAAAGCTTTTGTTGGGTTGCTCGAAAAATATAGAGTTAAGCACAAGTTAGCTACCCCTTATCATCCTCAGTCAAACGGTCAAATTAAAGTCTCCAACTGGGAGATCAAAAATATTCTAGCAAGAACTGTTAATGCAAACAGAACTGACAATTCAAAGAAGCTGGATGATGCATTGTGGGCCTATCGAACAACATTTAAGACACCCATCGGCACCTCACCTTACCGATTGGTTTTTGGTAAGGCTTGTCACTTGCCAGTGGATCTTGAACACAAAGGCATGTGGGCATTGAAAAAGTTAAATCTTGACTGGGCCGAAGCTGCTAATCTAAGGATGACACAACTTAACGAGATAGAAGAGTTTCGTTTTTATGCCTACGAGAATGCAGCCATGTATAAAGAAAGAATGAAGTTTGTTCATGACAAGAAGATTTTGAAGCGGGAATTCAAATCCAGTTACTTGATCTTACTCTTCAACTCAATATTGAAGTTCTTTCCGAGCAAACTCAAATCTAAATGGTCTGGCCAGTTCAAAGTTGTGAATGTGTCTTCCTATGGCGCTAATTGAATTAGAATCCGAGGACGGGACCCGAACTTTCAAAGTAAATGGCCAAAGGGTCAAGCATTGCCTAGGAGCCATTGGATAAAGGAAACCGGTAGAACAATTCGTACTCAAGGATAGTCCGGTACCAATCCCCACCACTGATTAGCCAAAATAGGGCCAACATCATCGTGCCGCGACGCTAAATCAAGCGCTTCTTGGGAAGCAACCCATGTGTTGGTAACAATTTGTTTGTTAGATTTTAATTCTAGTAGGTTTAATTGTAAGTGTTCAACAGTTTGGCATATGTGTTAGAATGCAAGTTACCCAAAATATAAAGAAATAGGATGCAAAGGCAGAGGGAAAATGAAGGAAAACAAGTTGATTTTCAGCTGTTGTTCTTTGGAAACATATGCGGCCGCATAAATGGTATGTGGTCCGCATAATGGTCGCAGACACAAGAAGAACACCAGTCAAATTGGGCCTTAGAAATGCGGAGAAAAATCAACTTTTGCGGCCAGCGAAATCATTCTACGACCGCAGAATCGAACGCACATCTGTAGCAGACTACCCAGGTACTAATCCATCACAAAACACATATGTGGCCGCATAATGTGTTATGCGATGGTCATTTGATCGCAGAACATATAGGTACTAAATCCTAGTTCTCTATCTTTCTCCTTTCCATCTGTCTTCTATAATTTCACTCACCTAGACATGAAAACAAAATCCAACAAAAAAATAAAGAGAAAACTAAAAAAACAAAAAAAGGCTCACCTTGATCGCCTGACTCGCGATTCACACCAACTTAGCTTGCTCGAACTTCTGCAATCTGGTATGTAAAATTTCCAACATTTCTTTTTCTCAGTTAATATAAATACACGCCTCATTTCTCTTACTCAGTTAATGTAAGTACTGATGTGTGCTTTCACTCGTTGTTTTTTCTCTAATCCATGTTACCCTCTTCTATCTACCCAACTTCTTGTCTCTTGTAATGGGAATCGACTCTGGGGTGAAATGATGTGTTGTGGGTCAATCAAAATTTTGGGGTGAGAATTAGGGTGTCTGAATAGAGTAAGGGAGTTGGAAATTTGTGACAATTTGCATTAGATGTTGTTAGGCTGAGCATGAAATCGACCTGATGTTGAGTGTGTGTAATGCTCTCTCACAACTTGAGCATTTAGTATTGAGTGTGCATAAAGGTTTCTTGTGAGTGCATTTTTGAGTAGAGATGATGATCTTTGCGATCCGCATAACTGTTTTGCAGCCCGCAGAGTTATCGCATTCTGTATGCTTGAGAGTTTTCTCAGGGCCAATATATGGTTGAGCCTGCGGTTGCAGAACTGGTTTGCGGACAGTACAATGGTCGCTGACCTAGTCAGAATCAAGCTTTATTCAAAGTTCAAAATATGACCGATCTACGGTAACAAACCTGTTCTGCGGCCCGCATAATTCTTTTTTACTTCTGATGGTTATCTTCTGCGTTGTGCTTTGCGGTCTGTAGAGTTGTTCTGCGATTGCATAACTGCTCGCAGAACATTTTGTGTCTCTCATTTCTATGCCATATGTTACACATGACATACCTTGTACTAACTCCTCGTTAATTGGCAGGAATAGCACCAAAGAAATCCTTAGCATCGCGAACACCCACCAGTCGAGGAAAGAGAAGGGCTGCAGCTATAAGCCAACAATCACAATAATCGCAACGCAAACGGCCTGGCACACCAATAAATTCATCTGAGCCTACCTCCCAGTCTGAAGAGGAGGAGGCACAGCTTGACCTTGTGCCACCTGTTGACCTCCAGGCCGAAGCATGCAAAAAGACTGATGAGGATCTCAGGTTTAGGATTCCCGGCTCTTGGACTCTGTACAGAGATGGTTTAGCAAAAAGAATGATCCTCGAAGAAAAGCAGTTGAGTTTGAATGGTCTTAAAGAACACTATCCCCATGTGCTAGAAAATATCAAAATGAGGGGATGGGAGTTCCTCACTAAGGTTTCGGGAGAGTACAACGAGACGCTTGTTAGGGAATTTTATGCTGCATATGCTGCATCCAAGAACTCAGAACAAAAGAGAAACCGTAGATACCTGAGCTCTGTCTTAGTCTGAGGAGTTGAAATACTCTGTGATTCCCCACCAATCAATGATGTATATTTCAGGGAGTGGGAGCCAATCATGGTAGAATATGAGGCAAATATTGCAAATAAGGAATCTGAGCATGCTTGGGTAGCCTCTGTCATAGCAAAGGGAACTCTGCCCTAGATTGCAATGCGCCAGAAGATTCACAAGAGGGATTTCACCCAAGAAGGTCGGTATTGGCTATATTTGTTTCTGTTCTCGTATACTGCCTACGAGAAATGAGACCGACATCAGTAACGAGAAGGCGACCCTTATTTCTTGAATCATGTAGGGTATCAAGCTTGATGTGGGAGAGTTTATATTTCCTGAGATTGGGATCAGGGCAAACCAGAAAGAAACCCCGCTCCCTTTTCCATGCTTAATCCATGCTTTGCGTAAAGACACGGCGGTTCCTCCGTTCCCCAAATATGACCACATAGAAAAAGTTGTTCAGGACATTGACATCACTCCGCATAATGATGCTGGAGATAAAGTGGTTGAAGATCCACTAAAGCAATCACTTACTCTACCTCCGGCTTCTTCCACCTCAGCAACACTTGCTACCTCATCAGTGTCAGATACCTCCTCTGAACAAGCTACCTCCACATCCACTCCCAGATCAGCCACTGCGACACCACCGGTCTCACTTCTTGCACTCTCCAAGCTTGGTCTACTGGAACAACATGCAAATGACAAAGTAGACAAATTGACAAAAGAACTTCCATCACTCATCCGGCAAGCATTGGCCCCAATCCAAACCTCAATAAGTGATCTTCAGAAGCAACATTTATCATATGAAGATCGATTCAGGAAATTTGAAGCTCTCCCTAAGATGGTGGCACGAGGTGAAGCTGGGGACATGACTCAACTCAAAAAGGATGTAGCTGAGGAGGGTGATGATCAGAGGCCGGTACAAAGCTCAGGTTGAGATTTAGCAGTAATTCCTTCTCAATATTGTTGATCAATACCTTTAAATAGTAAAATATACAGTTTGTTTCTAATATATTACACTATATTCCTTTTCAACATTGGGGATCACTCCATATGTGTCGTAACTTCGTACCCGTTGAGGAATGTTATACACAAACTTGGGATCAAGCATAATGATTATTCAGATGAGGAATCTGGAGAGTCTCATGAGGAAAATGATGAGGAGGAGATACTTAAGGAGGGTGATGATCAGAGGGACAACAAAGGAGAACATGTTGCCGTTTCTATAGATGCACTGGATAAGGAGGAGGGGGATTTGCAGACAGCTATCGCACACTCCCTTTCATATATGGTTGCCAGGGCTATTACCACGACCACACAACCATCATCTGGTGAGGCCAGCAACTCCCAGGTCCAGGAGCCTGCCCCGCAACTGGCGGAGCTTCCTACTTTGGTCTCACACACCACTTTCCAATCAGATGCTCCACCAACTGCCTCCACAGTGTCATCTCCCGACCCCACGGCTGATGACGTCCAAATCAACTACTAAAAAGTAAATGGACACGGTCGCATGTAATATAAATTACCCAACTATGAGTCGGGGTCGATTCCCACAGAGAACAATATGTAGGCGATTAGGAATGTAAGAGAATTATCACTTGTTATGCAATGCCAAACACTTAGAATTTGATTGTGAAAATGTTTATACCTAAATGCGAAAATATAGACTAACCTAGAAAGAAAGTAAGATGATCAATGGCTACAAGTATGGATGCATCGGGAATTACACTCAAGTAACGATCCAATGTATTTCACGATTTAACAAATATGAGCGAGTTTATGTTAATCAGCCACGAGTAATAATTCTAAATTAGCTTCTTCCGAAGACTAACAAGACTTTCTAATTGAATTATCCCTAAAAAAATCAAGAAATTAAGCACACCCAAATATGGCAACAAGTAGTTTATTCCTATCCCTAGGTAGAATCTATAAAGTGAGGGTTAACGTCTCAAATTCTTGTTAATTAATCTTTCCCAACCCCGAATTATTTTTTCCAAAATTAATCCGAAGTGAATGGGAGAGTCCTAGGGTTATTTAATCCCTTTGGAAACATTAAAGAATAAGAATAATTAAAGAAATAATAACTCACTTCATAATAAATAAAAATCGTTCAATACATAAGCACAACAAGGTATTAATCCACACTTTAAATATGAATATTCCCATAAACAAGATTCAAGTGTTGGAAAAAATACTACACACTTAAATATTCAATACAAAGAATTGAAATGAAGAAATGAGCATAAATGAATAAGAAATTCTCAACCAAAAGCATCAAATCTTCAAGCCCCAAGTGTGTGTGCAAGAACCCTAGCTCCAAACCTTGTCTTCTCTAGTCTAGTAGCTGAAAAATAAGCCAAAACTTTTCCAAAGAAGATGTTCCAAGATATCCCCAAAAATAAGCTAGGTCGTGTATTTGTTAGTTTGGAGTTGAGAAAATATGAAATGTCAATACTGCCCTGGTCAGAAGCCCGTTGACCGCACCTGTGGAATGATCCTCGCAAGTGCGGCTCCGCAAATGCGGGCCTTCAATCGCAGATGCGTGAACTCAAGGGATTTTCCTACTCCGTAGATGCGGACATTGTGGCGCAAGTGTGACTCCGCATATGCGGATAAGCCATCGCAAGTGCGAGCCTATGTGGAATTCCCTTTCTCCATAGATACGGACAAAATAGTCGCACCATCGACTCTGCAGGTGCGGATTTTTGCCGCAGATGCGGTCCTAGTGAATGAAGCTTAACTCTACATATGCGATGTCGCATATGTGGACAGTGTTCCGTAGATGCGGAATCACTGAAGGATTTTGTACTTTTGTGCTCTTTTTTGCTCAATTCCACTTCACTTGAATTCAACTCTCTTTGTGGAATCATTTACCTAAAAATCTAGCAATACACACCATAAACAGCCTCATATTCTAAT